GAGAGATTTAATTGTTTTCCAGAATCTGTTAGGGTCATTTAGATTTAAATTTTTGAAGAAGTCTTTCGGATGAAAGACGAAATGTTTCTACTTTTTTTGTGTGTTTGTTTTGTTGTTTTGCTTTTTGATTGTCCAGAGGACCAGACTTAACTTTTTTTAGATTTTTCTACCTGGATTATTGAGCATGCATCAGGATATTTATATTTAAAATTCTATATTTTTCTTCATCATTTGATGTATTTGCACTCATTGTGGTTTTGTTTCTTGTATACAGATTATTTTTATCTTTGAATTAAAGTTTAGCTTTGATTTAAAACTTTAATTTAAAGTGTAATGCTTGTTTTGTGATTTGTACATCTGTGGGTTAGAATAAAGTTGAACTAAAATCCGTATCTCTTCTTTAAACATATTTGAGGGAAATATTTCTGAGATCCAATAATTTAGTCTTTTCATGATTTTTCAGCTGAATTAACAGATTATTTAATAAAGTCAAAGTAAAAACAGGATTTCATGATAAAGCTGGCACCGTTTATTTATTTTTAATTTTCACTGATAAAAAAATTATTTTTTTATACATAAAATGTTTTTAAAAAAAAAAAGTTTCCACCCTTCGTCTCGGCCCTCTCGCCTGCCAGGGCTCGAATCCGGCCTTTGTGAGCAGACGAGACTGGGGCTCGGGGTCCGACCTTGCGGGCTTCAACAGGTCTGCAGCTCGTATGATCCTCCGCGGTGACTCCGCTCGTTCGAATTTTGTTGTCCGTCACCAAACACCTGAACTTCAGCATTAAACACATTAAACACAAAATCTTAAACATAGATCCAGCCGCTGCTCCGCGTCCCGAGAAATTGCAAATGGCGGATTGGTGAAAAGTTTCAGAGATCCAGTGACTCCTCCCCCTGATCAATCAGAGTCCTGCATTCACGTTTCGGTCTGGACTCAGCTCGACTGAGCTCGCTCAGTCCCACCAGAGAAGCAGGGACGAAAAGAGGTCCTGAATCAGCCTCAAATCAGCTAAAATACTGGTGCTAAAGGGTTCTTTCTGTGGCGGGCTGCCCAGAGTTGGGGCTTATTAGGGGCAGTGTAAATGGGCAAAAGTTGAAACAAGGCTCAGAGCTGATCCTTGATGTAATCCAATGGGTATCTTGGTCAACTCGCATCTTTCCTTTAAGCTTCACGTGGAAAACCTAGTAAGGAAATTGAAAGTTAAACTGGGTTTATTTTTCAGAAACAGATCCTGTCTAACTCTGAATGCTAGGAAACACCTTGTATCTGTGACTTTTCTCCCCGTCATTGATTATGGTGACATTATTTACATGAACGCTCCTACAAGAACCCTGCAGATGTTTGATGCTGTCTATCATGGTGCACTAAGATTCATAACTGGCTGTGATTATCGTACCCACCACTGCACCCTGTATTCACTGGTTAACTGGACATCATTAACTTCACGCAGACTCTCTCACTGGTACATTTTCATCTTTAAATCACTTCTTGGTCTGTTGCCTTCATACATCTCCTCCTACATGTCTCTAAGTGAGTGCAGCTACAGCGTGCGCTCTCAGGACATTATTACCTGCAGTGTTCCCTCAATGAGGACTGAACTAGACAAAAGGGCCTTCTCCTACTCCGCTCCTGTTTCCTGGAACATCTTACAAAAAGATCTGAAGCTCTCGACCTTGACCTCTCTAAGTGACTTCTGTTTAGTTCCTGGCAAAACCAACACAGACATGTTCCAGTTTTTAGTTTTTTACACCGCCTCGTAATCTAGCTGGTTTTTATTTGTTTGTTTGTTCCTTTTTCATTTTTATATTCAGAATTATCATTTTGTTTTCAATTGTAAGAAAATAACAAAAAAAAAACAAATTTGTATGAATCATTTGTGATTGTCTATTGTTGTTGTTGTCATCATTCTTTGTTAAAATCCAGGTCTCTCTTGTAAATGAGTCCTCATAGCTCGATGGGATTTACCTGTTTAAATAAAGGTTGAATGAAAAAAAATAATTTCCACCTGCACTTTTTTAATTTTTATTAAACCTTTATTTAACCAGATAAAAACCCATTGAGATCAAGACCTCTTTCTCAAGGGTGACCTGGCCAAGAACAGGCAACAGCAGCACACGTCATAAAAACAAAACAAGTAGCAAGATTAAATGAAGACTTCAGAAATATATAAAAAATATAAAACATACAGTATAACAGTAAATGGCAATAATTATTTAAAACAATTTAAGATCTAAAACACAGGCACTGTTGACAAGATATCCTTTGTCGGTTTTTTTAAAGTTTGCAAAAAACTCTCAAAGTAACAAGTTCTGTCAGTTTTAATTCAGCTTGCAAGGCATTCAAAGCTGAGGGGGCAGAAAAGCTAAAAGCTTTCTTGCCCTTTTCTGTTCGCACACGAGGAACATGAAGATGCAAACAGTCCTTAGAGCGTAAGACATAACTACTGTCCATTCTTCGTATAAAAGTACATAAATAATGTGGAAGCATGCCAATAAGAGACTTATAAACCAAAGTCATCCAATGCAACTTTGAAGCTGTCACTCCTGCAGAACATCTCACCACTGTCCTGCTAGCCTCATACATGTCCTGCTGTCCTCATACATGTCCTGCTGTCCTCGTACATGTCCTGCTAGCCTCGTACATGTCCTGCTAGCCTCGTACATGTCCTGCTAGCCTCATACATGTCCTGCTGTCCTTGTACATGTCCTGCTAGCCTCATACATGTCCTGCTAGCCTCATACATGTCCTGCTAGCCTCGTACATGTCCTGCTAGCCTCGTACATGTCCTGCTAGCCTCATACATGTCCTGCTGTCCTCGTACATGTCCTGCTAGCCTCATACATGTCCTGCTAGCCTCATACATGTCCTGCTAGCCTCGTACATGTCCTGCTAGCCTCGTACATGTCCTGCTAGCCTC